CACAAGAACCTACTATTGCAGAGCAGGTAATTCTGACACAAGAACCTGCACTAGTAGACGAGATAACAGCTGCTCAAACATCTTTTATCTCGAAACCATCTGCTCGTCAATCTTCTCCAGACCGGTACACCCTTGATAAATCTCTCAGAGAATCGATTGAAAGAGATTACAATCGAGTTCTACAATGGCACAAGTGGCGCACGGCACCTCTCAGAACCTTTCTCGAAACTTTTGAAGCCATGATCGACGAAGAGGAATTCGCACTTCAATGGCTTGAAACTCAGGACGTCACAAAGGCTGTGCGAATTGAGGAGATCCACCGAGTGTACTCTTATAGAATAACTCATCGATCTCTCGGGAAGGAAAAAGCTCCCTTGGTAGTTCCTCTTCATAAACCTCCCATGAATTCAGCAACTGAAACCGAATTAAAACAACTTCGCTACATCATGCTGCTATCCAAAATTAAAGCCCAAATGGCAGAAGATCATCCTCGAGATCCCAAAGGAAGTGCTAGTGGAACGAAAGATGTTCATGGCAACGAAATCGAAGAAGAGGATGAAGAAGAAAGTGAAGACGAGCGCAATGAAGAAGACAATGAAGATGATGACAATGATGATGAAACAGAAGACGACAACAGTGGTACTGATGATGATAATGATGATGACAATAATCCACAAGGAGGAGAAGGTGCTGAAGAAGAAGAACCAGAAGATAGCCACACTATCTTGGTCGAAACGGACTATGCTAACTGCCCACAAAGACCACCTCTCTTGAAAATACCATCTGAAGATGAAGACTCGGATGAAGCATCCAGTAAAAATCCAGTTTACTCATCTCGTGCTATCATTCCGCATCTGAACGAATCTATACAACAACATCATAATCTTCCAGTTCATGAGGAAAGAAAGGAAGCCTCACCTGAACATGGCCACTCGATGCATGGTGGAAATCCGGAAGCACCACATCCTGACGAACACAAGAACTCTTCTCCAACACACATTGAGGACGATTCTATCGCTGAGTCCCCACGGACCATTATGAACCTCATGCGAGAAACTGTTCATTCAGCTGAACTGATTCACAAGCAATATCTCGCCCTAAGGGAGAAGGACACGAGAGTATTGAATGACTTGTGTCAAAAAGTCAATCTACTCCTTGATGTACAATCTCAACCACAGCAACCGAATCCTTCTCACGACAAAATTCTTAAGCAATTGGTGAAAAGAGTTTCTGATCTTGAAGAAAGTTCAAACAAAGTCGCTAGACGGCAACACGAGATTAAGCATTCTCATTACGGCCTCAAGGAACGTGTTGACCTAGCTTGTACCAAGATTGACACTTATCAAGACAATTCCTATCAACTTGGTGAATATGCTCTTCAGATTCTGGGATATGCTCAAGACATCCTACTTGCAATCAGACAAATCCCCTCTGTCCCTCCTTCTGCCTGCGCTGATGATGCCAAAAAGGGGGAAAATAGGGATGATGACAGAGATAAGGATGATGACAACCAACCAAGAAGGGATAACACGAAAGAAAGATCTTCAGAAAAGCGAGCCTCTCCTCACAAAGTCTCGGGTTACTATAATAGGGATGATGACAGAGATAAGGATGATGACAACCAACCAAGAAGGGATAACACGAAAGAAAGACCTTCAGAAAAGCGAATCTCGGGTCACTCTCATCCACCTAAGTCTCGTGGACAGTCTCATGATCAAAGACGCTATGGTCGCACTCAAGACAGACCTCACAAGGATCGACAATCTTTCGGCTCTGAAGCCAAATATCTCTTCACAGGACTATCAAGAAGAGATCAAGCAAGACTAAGACAAAGGCTCATGAAAAATACCTCAGTTACCATGGATGGCATTGGAAACTTCGTGGACTATGTCCCATACGAAGAAGGAAGCGGTAAGAGGTTTGAAGGTTGCAACAATCCCATCTGGTTGAAGAAGAAAGACAACCACACAAGGCAAAACTACATGAGCACTCAGAATGAAAGGATCAAAAGACAAAACAAGGAATTGTGGGATAAACACAATGAAGAGATCAAGATAAGAAATGATGAAGCAAGAGAAAGAGAAAGGATTAAAAATCTCATCAAAGATCTATCAAATGTAACCAAAGACTCTCCTAACAATGTCACGTACAATGCAGCTTTCAAAGTGCATAAAGAGTCAGGCAAGAGTTATCAAGAAGGAATGAATTCGTTTGAACTGATCTCCTGGTGGAAGTCTGGAGTAGTGGAAGGCAACAACATTCGAGAAGCCTACAACAATTACACGAGTCTAAACATCAAAGGAGGATATGAAGAACTCGTCAGAAACAATCCAATCAGGACTTTCAGAGCAAGAATCAACGAGAAGATAGACTACGAGAGAACACAAAGAAGACAGGAAGAGAAGGACAATCAAGAAAGAAAGAAGGAAGCTCAGCAAAAGTTGAATCTTTTAGAAATGTAAGTTATCCTTTATTTTGATTTATTTTGACAGAGTTTTTGTAATGACTTTATCTGAATATCTATGAAACTCTCATTGTCACACATCTCGTGTCACTTGTCTGAGTTAAAAAGTCCTTGTCTTTATTTCTGCTGCTTCTTTGTAGAAAATACTTGTAAACTCTTGATAATGGCTGTGTTATTAATAGAATTATCCTTAAGGAGCACTTTCTCAGCCTTATAAGAAGAGTATAGGTTTTGGCATCATCAAAAAGGGGGAAATTGTTAGGAACCTTGTATTAGGATTTTGATGATACCAATGTAATGTAGAAAGTAGACCCCTAACTCTTGCGTTTTGTATTGTATCGCTACTTTCGTTCTAGACGAAAGTTGCCATAACTCATATGTAATTCGTCTTAAGCTAGAACAAACACACGAAAAGAGTTATGAATAGAAGATAGGCTGATCAAGGCGAAAGAAGACTCCACAGCAACGAAAGAAGGAGTTGTCATTAAAAAGACAGTTCTTTTCAAGACTATCTCAACAAGTATTCTTCTTCTCATCAACAAGAAGAATGCTCTACCTGTCTGATTTGACAACATCCTAGGACAATAAGGACCTCAACTCATGGGACACGCTATCCAAAGAGCATTTAATGAAGTTGTACTATCTCTGGAGCTAAAAGACAAAAGTCATCAGATCCTCCATACCTTCAACGGCTACATAGTACAAACCCATTAATGGAGCATTAAATGCATGAGGCTCCATGGTCCTTGTCCAACAGATAAAAGGTTTGAAAAATTCATCTCCCTCCAACAGATGAATTTTCATCACCTATATAAACCAACCTTCACCAACTAAGAAGGTGCTGGTTCATTTTATCACTCTACTCACTCTCTTGCAAAAAGCTCTTAAAAAGTGAACAAATCTCAAAGCTCTTTGCGAACCAGCTATTTAAGGTGTTAAGGCATTTGAAGTAGATCAATCATCACTGCCCTACATCTTGTAAGAAGTCTTGCACTCTTGAAGCAATCATCCACACCAACAAGACTTCACAGTTGGAGGAATCAAGAAATACTTTCTCACCAACCTCAACTTAGAAGAAGAAGTTGATAGAGGCGGAGTAAACTCTCGGAGTTGAAAAACCTTCAAAGGCTGTCCGGCTTAGTGATCAAGGAAGTCTTTGTGTAATTGTACTAAAGAGTGATAGTGCAATCCTTCCAGCAGTTGTGGAAGAAGAGTGGAAGTAGGCAAAGTTTGGCCGAACCACTATAAAATCTCGTCTCGCTCTTCTCTTTACTTACTGCTTTATTTTACTGCTTGCATATCATCTCTTTCATCACTCATCTTATCCTTTTATCAAACTCGTGCAACCCTCTCTTAATAACCTTTCCGCTGTTCTTATCTTACTCAAAAGTGTTGTCAGGGTTTTTCTTTTAAAGAATCTAAAGAAAAACGAGAGTCTATTCACCCCCCCCCCTCTAGACTCACCACTCAATCTATCGGGACCAACAATATATATATATATATATATATATATAGATGTGTATTCAAATGAGGACAAGTATATTATAGAGGACTGTGAGGACAGATGTAGTGTGTGCCATTAGCCGGTATGTTGTGTGCATGGCCGAATGAAGTCGTGTGCCACAGTTTGTATGTCGCGTGCTAGTTTTGTTAATTTATAGAGCTTGGGTTCGAAACCTGATGTTTACATTTATTCTTGTGTGCCATTATGTATTAAGTTGTGTGCCTAGTATTAGTTTGTTGTGTGCCCATTATTTGTCCTCACAGTCCTCTATATATTGTTGTCCTCATTTGAACTCAACCCTATATATATATATATATATATATATATAGGGTTGCATTCACATGCAAACCCCCTTAAAATACAAACATAAGGACAAATAAGAGCCATTAGATTAGATTAGTGGATTAGATTTAAATAAGAAAACATTAATACTAATACTAAACTGATAACAAAAGGGCAAATACGAGAATGCATTGAATCCTAATCAGGGAACAAATATGAATCCTAACACGCTTAAATTATAGTGGAGTAACTAGAGTAGGATTCTGTATACTCCAACTGACACGGCACCCACCACCAAATCGGCAGCCCCCCACTGCGACAAGGAAGCACAGCCACGCCGGTATTCAACGGCAACCAACGACAACCACCACCCAAGAATTCCGACAGTCGAGTATGGATTATACAACACCATCAATACCAGGTATATCGATATGTAAATTCATGACGAAGAAACAATAACTGTGCTAATTAGGATCTAATCTATTGGTGGACGCCTGCGTTTCTGGTGTCGCGCACACAACAATGTTCCCGCGCGCACCACGCAGAAACTACCCAATAGCAGTTCAGACAACCCAAGCACACCGCTGGAGTCTACCGTGCACATATTCACCCACCCGCAATAAATCAAACCCCCCCCCCCCCCGCTATATCTAACCAGTTACGCTTGGACCCCACCCCCCCCCCCAATGTGTATATTTGTTGTGTTTAATAGGTGACGGCCAATGCGGACACAGTGCAACAGAATGTGCCATGGGAATACACGAAGATGGTGCAAAATACTGGAAACCGACCACACAAAATGAGAAGACACCGTACGAAGGACAACAATTTGATACAGTAGACACAGGGATTGATTTCTACGTGGACTACGCTAAAGAGGCAGGATTTGATGTTAGGCACGGCACAAAGCGTAGAAATCGGAAGGGGGAAGTGTCAATCAAACACTTGTTGTGCTCACGAGAGGGATACAAAGCCGAACCAAAAGAACCCCAAAATAGCACAAAAGAACGAAAGAGGCGGAGGAGAACGTCCAACAGGATAGGATGTAAGGCGCGTATGGTAATGACAAAGCGTGACAAAGGCGGATACAAAGTCCACGCAATCGAGTTGCGACATACACACTGTCTATGCTCAGACGCAGGCAAACCTTTTTTAAAGATAAATAGGCAACTTGACATCGGCCACAAAATCTTTTTGGCTCACTGTGCAAAGGCAAACATAGGTCCTACAAAAGCGTTCAGACTATTCAAAGAGATGGTGGGAAGCTTTACAGATATAGGAGCAACATGCATTGAGTTCTGCAATTTTAGGCGAGACCTATTGGCCTATATAGCTGAGACAGACGCCCAAATGGTGATAGAAGACATGTTCAAAAGAAAAGAGGACAACCCAGACTTCTATTTCGATTTTGACATAGATGAAGACGCTCAATTAACCAGATTATTCTGGGCAGACGCACAATCCCGAAGGAATTATGCATGCTTCGGCGATGTCGTGTCATTCAACGCTACATACAGCACAAACAGGTACATTTCATTATTTCTTTACATTGAATACAATCGCTACTGTGTGTGCACGCAGTGTAATAAAGGTGTGTGCACGCAGTGTAATAAAGGTGTGCGCACAGAATAATGCAGGGACACGAAGTAAGTAACACGACGAGCACAACACTAACACCACCCATGCTTACACTGCAAGTACAAGTTAGTGTTCGTCCCCTTCACAGGGGTGGATAACCACAAAAGATGCATAACATTTGGGGCAGGCCTGATTGCGAAAGAAGATGTAGAGTCCTACGAGTGGCTACTAACTAAGTTCAACACTGCAATGGAATACGCACCAAGATGTACTACAACTGACCAAGACCCTGCACTAAAGATAGTAGTACCACAAACTATGCCAACAACAAGGCACAGATTCTGTATGTGGCACATTATGACAAAAGTGGGGGAAAAGGTAGGGGTTGCCTTGTGGCACAACCAAGACTTCAAGAAGGCATTGAATAGTACCGTATGGGATGACACACTGACCACAGATGAATTCAAGAGAAAATGGGAAACAATTATGAAGGACTACAACCTTAAAGACCATAGGTGGTTTACACAGCTTTACGAGGCGCGTGCATCATGGATACCAGCATACTTCAACGACATATTAATGGCGGGACTACTCCGGACAACATCAAGATCAGAATCAGAAAACAGCTATTTTGGTAAATTCACAAACCACCACTGCAGCCTAGTAGAATTCATAGCACAATACAACAACGCCATTGGAGAACAAAGACACAAACAGGCAAGACTAATCGCAGAAAACGAAGGTTCGTACCTTGAAACCAAAACACCTTTGAGTATTGAGAAGCACGCTACTACAGTGTACACTATAAACATATTCTACGAATTCCAAGAAGAGGCATGGGAAGCCAGTTTCACATGTGACATCATCGACAAACACAACATAGGGGATATATGGAAGTACACAATTAAGGACACAAATGGAAAAATGTATGAAGTAACTGAAACTCCACAAGAAAGGGAAATAGAGTGTGAGTGCAAAATGTTCAACCGTGTTGGTATACTATGCAGGCATGTGCTGTTGGTGATGAAGACAAAAGGGTATGAGTCAATCCCAGAAAAGTATATTGTTCCACGATGGACACGAAACGCATGTGCACACCCATTATACGATGTCCCATGGGCAAGAAAAACAAATATTACCAAGACGAATGAAACAACAAAAGTTGCAAATCAACTATGGAATGAATTCTACAACTGCATGGGATTAGTGAATGGTTGGCCTGACAAGATGGACCAAATGTTGGCAACATTGCAACAACTGAAAAAAGATCTACAAAAGGAGGCGCAACAAACACAAGAGGGAGCGCACACCGAATCTGTGTTTGAGAAACTAGTAGGATCAAGCAGACCAAGCGACATACAAATAAAACCCCCCCAGGTTGCAAAAAACAAAGGGAGTGGAAAGAGACTCAAAAGCAGCAAAGAAATAGCCACCACGAAGAACCAAAAGAAAAAGGAAAGGACATGCAGACAAACTTGCATAAGCGAAAGTTTGAAAGACTTCTGAATGTTATTATGTTTACAATTACGAACCGTATTTAATTACTTATATGAAGCAAACACTTTATTTATTAGGCAAAAATAAAATACCACCATTTATATTAGGCAAAAATCAAATACCTAGCAGCACACACACTGCACGACCTATATGTGCGCACACAACAACACAAACATGCGCACCCAAACCCATAGCCACCAACCCCCGCGCTCACATGGAAGAATGCCAAGCACACATGCAAATGGGAAGCAGTGAGTAATTCTTGGGAACAGATTTAGTATAGATAAATCTGTTATCTATACAATGTTATTATGTTTAAAACTATGAACCGTAATTAATTACTTATATGAAGCAAACACTTTATTTATTAGGAAAAAATGAAATACCACCACTTATATTAGGCAAAAATCAAATACCTAGCAGCACACACACTGCACGACCTATATGTGCGCACACAGCAACACAAACATGCGCACCCAAACCCATAGCCACCAACCCCCGCGCTCACACGGAAGAATGCCAAGCACACATGCAAATGGGAAGCAGTGAGTAAATCTGTTATCTATACAATGTTATTATGTTTAAAATTATGAACCGTATTTAATTACTTATATGAAGCAAACACTTTATTTATTACCACCACTTATATTAGGCAAAAATGAAATAACCACACACAAAGTACCAACATCGACCAAACTAACATGCCAAAGAGACCGAACACACACTACCGTACGAGGGTGCACACTCGGGAGATATCAATTAGTCGACCAAGACATGCGAACAAAGCAACCATATATTAACCACATCAAAAACCAGATTATCATCCATAGATTAGCATCCATATAATAACCGCATGCAATGGTAGTAACCACAAAAAACAGTGCGAGCACAGTGTGGAATCAAAGTGTGCACATTACATACCCCACCAAAAACACACACCCTAACTAAACAACCGACACAACTGCACACCCCACAAAAAACACGCACCCTAACTAAACAACCGACATAACTAAGTTGAAGGGAGTGGAGCTGATATCGATCGGTTCGCCCGCAACAGGTTGTCTTCCCTCATCACATTATGTTGCGATGTGACCAGCTCATTCATGTACCGCAACCGTAATCTGTGCAACATCGTACTGTCCCCCTTAACCAGGCCACAATCCCAATCGCGAACCCGTTGCCCAACAAACGTCTCCATGTGCCGCATTAAAAAGACACCACAATCAATCTTATTCTTCGAATCACGCCACCCCATCTGCAACCGCTTGGATTCAACACAGGAACAAGCTGAAAACCTCTTAGGGGAAATATCTTTATAAACCTCACACAACATCGCCTTTTACACATGGGAAAACCATAGGAAAAATCAGACAGTATGCACACTACAAAAATGGGTAAAAGACCACAAGGTTACAAAATCTTTAGAAAAATGAATTGGAAGCAACAGTGCCAACACTAACCAACTCCTCAACACAACCGCCATACTTGTCCGCCTTTGCTACGGGATAGGAGTCATTATCAATAATTTCATACCAACACCGAACAAAATCAAAGCACAACAGGAAGTAGTGACCACGTCGTAGAATCGGGAAAAAAATCTGCACACAACAAAAGGGTGAAATATAAATGGGACTGGTTGTGCACCCAACAGAAGGCAAAATAATTTCAGCACCGTGCATCCTGAAATAGGTAAGCATGCACACAAAACTCAAAGTAAAACTGAACACAAAACAACAATCATACCATGTCAACCGTCGTAATATTTTCATACGGAGATGCCCGGAGGTCCATCATTAACCTCTCACGAAACCACACGACCCTTTGATCCCATCCCCGAGAAGTATCAACCACAGTAGTGAGCTAACACAAGCCACCACCAACACACACAATAATCCAAATAAACATTAAACAAAATACCGCAGAAAAACGAAAGGGAAATGAAATTTCTGCTACTAAAACTAACCGTGGTGAACGTCGAAGCAAACAGGCGTGAAGGGGCCGACCGAGACTTAGAATGCTCCAAAAAATTCAGCACAACAGCCCAAGCATCTATAATCGCTATATCAACCTGTGAACCTGGACTTAGTGACAGAAAATTTTCCCACGTCGCAGACCTAACGCCAGCTGAAAATATAGTACGTCCCCTAATACAAACAAAACAACAAACTATCACAAAAAAAAAAAACAAAAATTACCAAGAAAAAAAAAACCCAATGGAAACACCATCAAAGAAACCAAACCACTACACTAACATGTCAGCCGCGGATCCCCCAAGCAACCAATTCACGATTAACGCATCTTCCAGAGCATCAGGAACAGGAAATGTAGTACACTCACTAACACTGAAAGGCTGATACTGAAGGCGAGTGGCAACTACAGGAACATCAGACGCAAGATACTTAGTAGGACGACCAGCTTTAATCGGGGCCGCACACCCAGCACCCCCCCCCCCCGACAATGGAGGGCCACGGGAACCACGAGCACCACCACGCTCCTGCAAAATATAAAAAAAAAAAAAAAAAAAAAAAAAAAAAAAAAAAGGCCATTCAAAACTCAGCAAACTGTGAGCACACACCCAGCACACTACATTGAACACCAGAAATAACAAATACAGACACGCACATGTATCGCAGTTCGCTAGCACACCATCTAAATATGTGAGACAATATTTCTACAAAGATATAAACAAAACAAACCTCCGTCGGTGTAGTAAACTCCGGAACGTCTGGACCCAAAGCATCAACACCAGCCCCATCAATATTATCACCACACCCATCACTAGCACACTGCCAAGCACGAGAGCAAATACATACTTGCACACAATAACGACAACCAATATTAATCACTGACAGAAAAAGAATAGTTAAAGAACTAACCTCATTTACAGTAGTAGTCTCTGGAGTAGTAGGGCAACCACTCACTCCCCCCCCCCCCACCACCACCATCACCTCTAACAGTCCGGGTCAGCCCAGCCTCCTTCGCCGCGGCCCCCAACCCAGCACACAACACCAACAAACTTACCGAATCCATAAGATTACCAGAGTCACGCCGGTTTAGCACATCAGCAGCTCGACCCCCGGCACCCGCCTCCGCAAAATCCTGAGTTAAGCCAAGGCTAAACGAAGGCATATCATTCACACCAAATCCGTCAGAAATTTCCCGGAAAGCAGCATCCAAATCCCGAACCCGACGCTGCATAGGACTATACAAGCAACGACAAACCTCCCCCTCAACACCCCTACCACGTGCCATCTTGAAAAACTGAGCCAAACTATCAACCGAACTTGCAAAACCACCAACAGCCTCACCAACCACACATTCAAACGTCTAGGCAAACAAAAAAAAAAAGATAGCACACACATTAAAATGAAAACAATATTAACACTCTAGTCAAACACTATAAACAAACCACACACAAGTCCAACAGTGCACACGCAAAATACCCCACTGCCAAAAAAAAAAAAAACAAAACCATATGCAACCCTACATACACATCATGCAGTGCTAAACCAATAAAGCACAAATAAGAAGATAAAAAACATATGGTGTGCAAGCAAGACAAAATGGTGTGCACTGCTACCTTAGGCCCATGCTCAAGACCACCAACTTCAGCATTCAAGCCCACGCCAGCGACCTCAATCTCCCCACGACCAAACCCACCACCATCCATCTCCGCAGACTCCCTAGCAAAAAGAAGATCAGATGTCCACCCACGCAACGAAGGCACCACCCGGGGGACAGACCGCTCAAACGCCAACACACGGTCCACATAGAAGAGCTAAAACAAAAAAAAAAAAAACAACACAATAAGGGAATATCGAAATGAACAGTAAAAAACACAAAATAACAAATACTATCATACCGCAACAAACTCCACCGGGCCCACGAAGCATTTATGACGACCAGAAATCCAAGCATCCTGAGTTTCCACCAAAGAATCTAGCAAAAGCTTGCACCAGTTTAACTCATGGATCCGAGAAACATCATCAAAGCAATCAAAATACATCTGATTTGAATAGCCATTGTTCATACAACAAACCAGCGTAGATAGCACCAACATACAAAAGTGCCTCTTAAACCAGTCACCACCATCAACCTCTGCAATAACCTTGTCTGCAACCATGGACAAAGACACCGTATACCGCACCTTCCCAAACAACCCCCTCCAATGTCTCAACAGGTTACTAATCTGCTGCCTCTCACGCTTCACCATCTCGGACTCACCACGTGGAAACCCCAACACCAATTCAATGTCACGCTCGTAAACAGGAAGGACTCTACCACCGCCCAAATCAAACGTCCTCGACTGCCCATCAAATTAGATAGGAGCCAATGCACAAGGCTAGGAGGACACCCTGACACCTTGAAATCCAACAAATGGCCAAATCCTAACCCCCTAATATCATCTTTCTGTCGCACAGACAAATCCTGAAGCGCATCAACAAGCACACCAGACTGCCCCTGAAACTTAACAGTCGGAAATTCAGCATCCTCTTCTACAGACCCCTCACCACCATCGGAAGAATCTCCAAACGCATCCCACAGCGGGTCTTGTTCCAACCTAGCCAAGAAAGCCAAAGGTGGGGAAACGAAGTCATCATCGCTTGCACCCCCTTCGACCACTCATGGAACAGACCGCACCCCCTTAGCCTTCTTACCTGCATAAAAGAAGACTCACAATATTCACTAGACAGCTAACCGGGCACAATTAAAACCAACACATGTAACAACAAAAACCCCACCTAAACACCTAACCAACACTGGAACGCACACAACTATGCCAACCTCTGCACACCCCTAGTCACCAAAGTAAAACAGACACCCCAGTCTAAGAAAACAGAGCACAGTTCAAATAAATATTTCCAACACTAACATATCACAATTTAAGATGAATTGGATGCAAATTTAACACAGTAGCCAGTGTATATACACTAATCAATATCGAAACAAGGAAATGAACTACAATTATTATTATTGTTATTATTTTCAATTCCAGAATATACTAATTG